TATGTGCCAAGGCCCGAGACTGGGCCACGACCCGGCGGTTGAAAAAGACTGGTCTAGAACATATCCAGTGTCTTTACAATCTAAGCATCCCCGGATTTTTTCTGTTCATGTTGTTTCTTAACGGTCAAAATATAGCCTGAAGTTTACATGAAGCTCCAGTCAAATTATAGCAAGTGTTCCAATACATCTCGTCGCTTGTATAGAATGAGATGAGGTAAAATATAAACCTCGCAAGGATTTACAACTTATATTCGAAACATCTTTCGATATGGCGAGTATGTAACCAAATACAAATAATTTATTCTGTGCATTGTGATTTTTGTAGTAAGACTGTCAGAAAAGAACGCTTTCCGGACAGTGTTCAATGTAAAGTGGTGAAACCTCTTGTTGCCCCCTCTGCGTGCGTGTTCCGTCATTATCACGTCAATGCAGCGACAGTAGACTAAAATCAAGAAACTATAAACAGACAATCAGAACAGTCAAACTCGGTTTAGGAAAATTGATCGTGAGTGACCGTGGGGATAGCTGTACTGAAATGACTACGATAAGGTCCAGTGGCTTTTCAAATACCAGCATTACCGGCGATAAATTTTGTTACCATCTAGTCCGTCCTGCCTCCCACAAAATGGCGGTTCCCGTATTTTGAAACATTAATTGTTACAATCCTACATTGGAACTAAACACAGCGCTGGTAAACCTACTTCTTATCGATCCGTCAAGAAGTAATGTAGAAGTTCTTCATGCTCTGACGCACCTGTTTGCCTTCACGGCTGTTAGCTTTGGATCTTGTTCAGATTATATAATTCCCACAACTCTTCCTGTCGAATTTCCCTGGCAGCATTTAGTCATCATCAGCCTCCTAGAATATCGACAGTTGGGAATAACAGTGACGCGATTCCAGGAATATCTGGTCTCTGCTACATTGTTTTTTTTTCTTCCCAACGTGTTAATGGTCATACTTTCTACTTATTTCCCTGCTGTTGTGAATCTGCTTTTCAAGTCAGTGTATAATTAGTTTCAAGGATGAAGAACAATTTATTTAAGCATGAAATTAATTATAATTACATACAAGTGAGTATGGTTATGCAAATTGGCTTAGAAGCAAAATTAATCCGTAACTATTTTATGAATTGTAGGCACGGATAATTCTCTTCTAAATAAAAAAAAATAAACTTAATGTAAGTACTTGTGACACTAATGATACAGAAAAAGAGAATCGTGAACAAATGCAGTGGTACTCATGGAACAATTATCGGACAACGACGAGACGACGACGATGACGATAGACGTTTTTCAAACCGCTGGACAAAAGATAATGGCGTGATAAACTTAATACATCCTAATGGTTAACCATCAACAGTGGAGGCTTGGATGTTCCACATGTAAATCAGCGAGAAAAATAGGGTCAATGGAGACACAATGTTTAAAAGTAGCACATGAATGGATATACATACGGCTGTCGAGGAATGTGGTGACACACACACACAAACTCCATGGTCTATAGTCCGCAAGCGAACTATACCGACCGAGCGACCGCCGCTTGTCGGCGAAGTTAGCGCCAACTTTAACGCAAAGAGGGTGTCGCGTGGTCAGCGCAACGGATGCCCACGGCCGTTAATCTCAGTTTTTAGACCGGAGACATACACACACAATAACTGTCAATCAGGATAAATCTTGCTTGAAGCAAATTTTCAGGTGCACGTATTAAAGCGTGTGAAATAGACTCTCTTGTTACGAAAAAAAAAATTGGAAACATTGAATGTAAAATTACGAGCTACACAGTACACAATAGGTTTGCAAATTTCGAACTCTTTGCCAGATTTCAAAATTAAATCCTTGCGTAACAGATTTACAAACATTAATTGACCTTCAAGAAGTAAATGGGTTGGGGATGGGATATATTTTATAGTGTAATCATGCATGCACAGATATTTGTAAACTTACTGACAGTGAATCATGAAACTCGTGCTAACTTAATAATTAAGAAAGGTGTATAAATGGATTTTTTAGTAGAAGAATCTATAACTATTAGCAAGAAAGAGGTTCTCATAAACTGTTTACGTTGTAGACTTCAAGAATCTGTGGATACTGATAGCTTCACTGAATTGGACAACACATGAGCCTCTTCTACTGTGGAAATTCTACATCATCAATTTTATCCTCAGCTGGGGCACTGACATTCGGAATAGTGATATCGCACCAATGACCTCTTAGAATTATGTACATCCTATCACGAACGAACTGCACCCTCTTAACTGATGATACGATTCTCTTATGTGTGAGAAACCTATACCTAATTCATGATTCTCATTACCCTTCCCACAGAAAAATGTATATTCACCTGCTGTTTCGGTGGCACCTCTGTTTCACCCGATCTTCTGTACTCCCACTAAATCTAACTTCAATTGTGATAGTTATTTTGCAACTGTCATTAGTGAACCTGTCCTATAGACTTCTTACTTTCCACGTACCAAATCTCATGTCAATTTTCTTTAGCTGAGGTCGTTTATCCAAAGAATACATCCCGGTCTGACACCCATTGTGACATTTCGTAACATGCTTATTTTTTCCGGGAGGACTTGTTAGCCCCATGCCCAACCCCCAGCGGGAGGATCGCCCCTTGTCGGCTGCTTATTCAATATATTCGCAGCTACCCTCCATGTCTGTAGGCTGTCTTCTCCATCCGCATCCTGAGATCGCTCCATGCCGTGGTGACAAGGGACTCACCTAACATGGAAAAGCATTGCACATACTTTATCACATATGCCGTTGGGCTTATTGTGAACATAAAGTTATTATTATGAAGAAATCCCTTATCGCCGCCTGGCAACTGCCATAAGGGGAGGGGAAATATGTTCTAGTAGCATCTACACACATCTGTTGTGAAGGTTGTGAATTACTTGACCTGAGTACACGCAAATAATTCCTGTTATTCATGAAAGAGTCGTTAGTTGGTAATTTTAACCAGTCCTCTCACATTTTCTGAACCAATCACAAAGTACTAACCCAACCATGTACTTTTAGTTTGATCTCGTCTTCACTGACATCTTCGTATTTTCTAACGTGTACAGCAAGGAGTATTACACTCTACTGGGCTAGTAGGTATCCATGCTTTATTGATCCATGGGTTTCTTCATTGAGTGTTGAATGGGTTGAGTGGCGTGATTGGTAATGATGGGTATGATAGTGATCAGTGATCGACAGTGATTCTTGTATCGAATTGTATGACTTGTATGGTGTTAGGATCGTCAGGATCGTAAGGATCGGTCAGGATCCAGGATTTAGGGGTTAAGGGAGGTTATGGGCTGTTGTAGACCGTTGTAGACGGTGTGTGTGTGTGTGTGTGTGTGACGTATTTTAACGTGCAGTCGAAGTTCGCAGTTGTAGTATTCTGTATATATAAGTTTTTTAAAGGGTATACCATTCTGACTTTTAAAACATCCATGAAAGAAATTTCCCAGTCAGTTAAGTGTTAGAATTTAAGCCTCCAAATAGTGATAACGTTGTAGTTATAGAGTAGTGTACATTGTGTCAGAAGATATACCAGCATGTTTACTTGGCCTGTAGTCTGAGTCGTAAGATAGAATTGTGAAAATTTTAATGTATTTTGCAATACATATCAATTTGGACCAACAAGAGGTAATATATACAGATTATTTTAGAAGCTGACACAAATCATTCTGCCGGTATAGCGGAAGAGACAATCTCCTGGCCTCAGTGTTTTTATTCTCAGTGTAGTAAAGAGGCTCATAGGAAAGTAAATTAGAAACAACTAACCTAGATCACTGCACATAATCTTCGCACCTCTGTACAGTGTTCACGCTTGTATGTTGAAGTCCCTGCCTGGAAATACAACCAACTTTAAGCTTGAAAAATGAAACTTTAACCACAGTGTGAATGCAAGGTGTCTAAGGGATTCTCGTGTGGAATGATGAAGCCCAGCACTGATTTACTTTCATTCGGCACATGCCATTTTGATTTTCTTGTTTTCTGTATGTATGGAAACATCATGGCAGAAATGTGCTTACAATTTTATGAATAGTACTTTTCCTGTTTGGAACTGGAACATCATGAAACTAATGCCAGAATATCCTGAGTTCTCATGTGGATGTACATGAAGTTATATCAATTTGTAAACTTTGCATGACATTTTAACACATGAAGTAACATGACTGATTGAATGTTAATACTGTAGCAGGGGCTTTGGATTACAATCAGTCGGTTCATAATTCACTTACTTACTCATGGAACTGAGCCCTTCTGGGGGAGCCACCAATTCTGCAGCTACTCAAGAATTTCCCAGCATTTTATGGAACCCACATGTTCATTATCATGTTCACAAGAGCCCTTCACTGGTCCCTATCCTGAGCCAGATCAATCCAATCCATACTATCTCATCCTATCTCTCTAAGATCCATTTTAATATTGTCCACCCACCTACACCTTGCGCTTTCCAATGGGCTCTTTGCTTCTGACTTTCCTACCAATATCCTATACGCATTCCTCGTCTCCCCCATTCGTGCTGCATGCCCTGCCCACATCATCCTTCTTGACATGATCATTGTAATTATACTTGGAGAAGAGTACACATTATGAAGCTCCTCATTATGTAGGTTTCTCCTACCTCCTGTCATCTCATCTCTCTTTGGTCCAAATATTCTCCTCGAAACTCCGTTCTCTAACACGCTCAGTCTATGTTCCTCCCTTAATGTCAGAGACCAAATTTCACACCCACACAGAACCTTAGGCAAAATTATAGTTTTGTATATTCTAATTTTTACGTTTTTTGGATGGCACACAAGAAGACAAAAGGTTCTGGACTGAATGGTAGCAACCATTACCCAAGTTCAGTCCCCTCTTAATTTCCTCCTCAATCAGGTTTTCATTTGTTATCATCATTCCCAAATATCTGAACTGTGCCACATTTTTGAAACATCTGTTTCTTATCTTTATGTTATGATTTTGCCCTGCAACATAAACTTAGTTTTTTCTGTCACTAGCTTGCTTTATAATAGTAGCTGAAAGATGATAAGGGGCACGTGGTAGCGTAGTTGGTTGAGGCACTATGTTACAAGCTGGAAGGTTGCGGGTTCAAGTACTGATGAGGTCATTGGATTTTTTTCAATTGGCCTAATCCTTCCAGGCGCACTATGGCTCTGGGGTTGACTCAGCCTCTAACAGAAATGAGTACCAGGAATTCATTAAATAATTTTCCTGGGGAGTAAAGGGTGGTCGGCACGTAAGGCTGACAACTAAACCGCCATCTTTGAGCCAATTGTCTAGATCAGCCGTGTCAAACATGCGGCCCCTCAACTTTTAGAGCTAATTGATATTAAAATCAATATTAAAATTTTAGTAGAAATATTATTTGTAAAGACAATTTTCCAACAGACCAGAAGACAATAAGTCTCACGCAGACATAAATTAGCAGGCTGCAGGTTGCTATTTCTAACATAATTTCTTGTGTAACCTCTCTTTTTACATATTGAAAAGCTGTTTGATACTTGTTAAAAATGGCATTCTCTTGCTTATTAAAACTGTAAGATATGTGATTTTAACTAATTACATTGAAATTATTCCTAAATAATAAATAGAATTAAATTTCCTTATGTCAAAATCTAATATATATTTCCATTTTGAAGTGTGGCCCTGGACTATTATTTATAGGGCTGAGGTGGCCCTCTGTACAAGTTGAGTTTGACATGCCTGGTCTAGATAATGTGGGACCATCAACATCTCATAACCCTATGGGCCTTCACAGCCTGTTACAGGGATAGCTTTACTTTACTTACTTTTATGGGTATTTGTGACTGTGTGCAAAGAAATTGATTTATATTTCATTGTATACAAACTGTGATGCATGATGAAGGTATTTAGATTTTTATTTACCTTCAGTTAAAAGTGATACCATGTAGTGTTTCTTTTTGTTTCCAGTGTATTTTTTGAGAATGAATTGGACACCTTATGCCCAAGTTTATGATCCACTGAAAGTAGGAAGTATAGATGGTACGGATCCTGATCCACATGACAAAGCAATTATACGAGCATTAAATTCAGAGTATATACCAGATAAGAATATCAAAGGGAAGTCAGAATGTACAATTTTTGTTGCCAGGCTTTATAGACAAACAAAAGAAGACACCATCATGCATGTAAATATATTTTAACAACTAGTTTTATGTAAAACATTTGCATTGTCATGTATTAGTGACTAGACAGGGGTTTGGATTGAAATTGGATTTGTTGAACACTTGTAAATCATAAATACAAATAACTATGAACTTTCTCACTGATTTACACTCTGTAGATATCTACAGCTATGGTGCACATGAAGTATTCTGTTTGTTCACTGGTTGTTTCTAGGTAGCGTCTGCAACTCAAGACTCAAGACTGGGAACCACTGATTCTAAGCCAAAGTCAGGGTCAGAGTTTCTTTACAACTGGCAGTTTACCGCCAATCAGTTGTCTAGGCGCCAAGCCCCTTTAGGATCACAGCCAGGGGTTCCCCCCTCAACTGAACCCTTGCATTCGTAGTCCTTGTGTAACATCCTCTCTGATGAGAGGATGGATTTGTGTCTTAATGCCTAGGCTTTGACTTTGTCAAGTGTGTGTATTGCACATATAATATGTTACTGAAAATTCTTCCTTGTGCACTTGTATTTACAAGCATCTCATGTCTACCTTACATATATTATTGGCTGTTGGTTCTCATTATATAGCCTTGGCATGAACCACATAGAAAACACCCCTTTCAACAATTCTTTGTTGTTCCTTGTTATTGATGCAGTAGAAATGTGTTTATTGCACAGTTGCTTAACTGTGGCCACTTCTTGTTGTTAAACACCTCTGGTTTTCAGCCATCATGTCACAACATTCATAATATAAATTCCAGTTCATTGCTATATAATGCCTGCAATTAACCCGTAACAAACAAGGAAACTGTTAAATGAAGCGACACCACATACTGGCAGATAGAAGACTCACATCTAATTTTTGTGTATGTTATCACCAGGGCCCAGATTTTGATGACATGTCATCTCTTTTTCCTTGTATCTTATGCGATGCTCTTAAAATATAAATCTCGGATATGAGCTGCTGGTTACAGAGATGTAGTAAATTTTATAGGTAATTTTTTGTCATTTTTAGGTTTAAGGTCATTTTTGGGGTAATTTTTTGGTAAATTTTTGGATTTTTAAGGGTATTTCTTGTCATTTTTGGCCATTTTAGGGAATTTTTCTTAATATATTTTCTGAAATGTGAATAACATGGAAGCGAAGTGGTCTTTCTTTTCTCCTTTAGGTCATTTCTCTGGATTTTTTCGGTCATTTTTTTTTAATATTTTCAGGTCATCAAAATCCAGGCCCTGCATATCATTTTTGTGTCATATTTTAGGTAATTTTTCTGGATTTTTTCGGTCATTTTATAGGTAATTTTTTAAATATTTTCAGGTCATCAAAATCCGGGCCCTGGTTATCACCATAGAAGCTTGTGTCTTTATATATTTTTGACTAATTTTATGAACATGTTCCAAGGGAATTATACAGTTCAATTATATTAATTTACAATCTCTTGTAGGAGTTTTCCAAGTATGGTCGTATCCGAAGATTTCGGCTTGTTAGAGACATAGTGACTGGTTCTTCTAAAGGTTATGCATTTATTCAGTATGAAAAGAAAGATGCAGCAAACCAAGCTTACCAGTATGCAAATAATTTAATAATTGATGGAAGGAGGATTTTTGTTGATTTTGAATGTGAGAGGAAACTTTCTGGATGGAAACCTCGACGATTAGGTATTGTCACTTTCACCTTTTGTAATTTACTGTGTCAGTCGGGATAGCTCAGTTATTATAGCAATAGGCTGTGAGCTGGACAGCCAGGGTTTGATTTTTGGCAGGAGCAAGAGATTTTTTCTTCTCCACAGCATCCAGATTGGTTCTTGGGCCCACCCAGCCTCTTATCCACACCCAGCCTCTTATCCAGTGGGTTTGGGGGTGTGGGTCATTTTCCCCAGGGGTAAAGTGGCTGGAGTATGAAGCTGACCATTCATTTCTGTCTAGTGCTGAGGTCAAGAATGGTGGAGCTATACCTCCATTCCATTCTACACCTTTATACATATTCATGTTATGGTGCTTAATTGATTAAGCATGGGGAGAACTTACCTTCATTTACCTTATAATTTACTGTAGTATACTTAAAGTATGTGTTTCAAATTCTTGAGCGTCCATCTACCAGTTCTTCCCTACTTTGACATAGCAATGATAAAAATGTATCTGAAAACTGATATTTCATGACCACCACTATGAGAACCTCAAATCCTGCATATGAATATTTCCTTGGCCTTAGTCATTATTTGTGATGTTTCGGCATTCCAGATTTCACATGCCTAATTCTGATAATTCATTAGATATCACCATCAAACTTAAGGTAAAGAAAATTTTTACATGATTGCCATGTTGTTATTTTTCATTCTATAAAAATACCTTGAAAGGTTGCATTTTTTTTTTAAATCTATCACCATACATCATTTGAAGCGTCATTACAAACTGCTAATATTGCTCCCCATCATAACTTCATGGGTCTGTCCTGCTCATTGTAGGAAATTACAGAAATATTGGGTGACCTCCAGTGGCACAATATTCATACCAAGTTTTGTGAAAACTGTCAACTGGCTCAGAAGCTGATATGGAGAAACACATGCATAGACAGCATGGTAATCATGGTAAACTAAAAATTGAACTTGGTGTTGCAAAGCCACATAAAGCAAACTCTTAGACAATAGAAGAAAGTGTATATCTTTTAAAATGAGTGTTAATATTTCAGGAGGTGGATTTGGTGGTAAGAAAGAATCAGGACAGCTGCGTTTTGGTGGAAGAGATCGGCCTTTCAGAAAGCCTCTGCCTGTTCCTGTATCAAAAAATAAAATGCGTGACCAGAAAAACAAGGATTAAGTGAAGTATGTCTGACCAGACATATTAAGGGTGGGAAAGCTAATTTGTAATTTTTTGGGCATTCTTTATGCAGAGCAAAACAGCTTGGTGACTCCATATTTACTCACATTATTTATACCTCCACATAATTATGATGTCTCTACTTTTTGACAAGAAATTAAATACTGTATCTTTACCCTTGATACAATTTTGACTGATGGTTAATTTTTGCGAAAAATACAATTAATATGAATTGCATTATAACAAGACGGTATGGGGAATTTTGGTCATATTTTCTGCTAAAATTACACTTTCATCAAGGGTCATTATCATTTCAGTGTTAACCATAAAATCGCATGATGGAGCCTATAGGCACAAGTATTTATACCAAGTTGTCACTTCTATTATATTTTCTAAGAATATTATGTGTCATCAGAATTTCATCAAGAGGAATTTTCATCTTGTTTCTTATTACAGAATCACATGGTGGAGTACAAAGGTGCAAATATTCATAACGTGTTGCCATATCACGTTCAGATTTATATGCATTTTCTGTGTTGGTTGAAATTTAATCAAGGGACATTTCTTTGTCAATGTCCATCAAGGGATCATGTGGTATAGTCCATATGAGTGACTGAATGTCCATACTTTTATATATTGGTGATTGGACGCGGGGTTTTGACTGATAATTGGATTTTTATAACTCATAACTAGAAGTAATTACAACACTGTCACTAATATACACCCTTAATGAATCACTGTAGTACACACAATGTTTTTGTTGTCTTCATTGGTCACTGCTCAGTTAATGACTTCACTGAGTATCGCTAGGTTATAGCTGTTAATCAGTGATGTTCTTCTGCTTCGATGCTTGCCTTCTCACTGAATGACAGCTGGTTTGCAGTTCCTCAACTGCATCCTTGAAGGATCTAGTTATAAAACTTCAACACAGGCTGTGTAGAACACATCATTCCCAGCAATCTCTTATATTGTTGTGCACATATCCTTTGCCACAGATATGTGTTTATCAAGTTATTAATCCTTTGCCACAGATATGTGTTTATCAAGTTATTACTGCACAGTGGATGTTTTCTCTTATTAGACTATTCCATCATGTCGCCAATTCTTATTTTCTGAGGGGACGTGCCTGTGACATCTGTGACTGTCCTCATAAATTGCACCTCAGCATCAAGCTGGGATCATCACTTTGGCTCACTGGAAGCAGAACCTTCAGAAGCGGCCAGTGCTCCTACAGTGCTGGCATGTATGCTGTTGGTAGTCCCTTCTTTTGCTTTGGAGGGGGCCAGCTCTGCCACAGTGCTCTGTCACTCGTTTTCTGAAGCCTGATGTGGGACCTGACTGCTAGCTTTACGATGTCCAGCGATATTTCTCTTGCTTCACAGAAGTAGATGCTGTTTTATGCCTCACCCTCTTATTCCATCATCAAACATCATGTCTGCTTCCTTACAACTGTGGTTCTCTGGTAGTGCAGGAAGGACACATGGGTCAGCTGTTCAACAGTGGTGGCTAGCTCTTGCAGGGACTTAAGGATCTCTGGTCTCCTCATACGAGTATGTCGTTTGTTAGGGATTCCATGGAGGACATCAGAAGCCCAGACCTTTGGGGTGGTAAGTGTGTGCATGGCTTCTGTGTGTGGTACCCCTTCATAGTGCTCTGCTGTGGCATCTATATTTTCTTGATTTGCCTCCAACTCTGTGGTTCTAATTTCTTCTGGGCCCATCTTCATTACTGTTCTCTTTTCTTGATTTGCCTCCAACTCAGTGGCCCTCATTTCTTCCAGGCCAATCTTAATTTCGCCTCTCACTTGTTCATGGCAGTCTCTCTAGACAGGTCTCCATCACTTCTAGGCAGGCCTTATTTTCGGCTCCTATCTTTTCTTGACCAGCTTCATTTCCTTTTGGTGGGAGTCCATCTTGGCCTCTAACCTTTCTTGGTTGTTTTCCATATCATCTTGAATGGCCATCAGGCATTCTGTTACTCCATTCTTTTAGTATGATGATATAACGATCTACTGCAGTTTCCAACAGTTGAACCAATTCAATTTATCCCACTTCTGACTGTTAGTAACTAGACGTGGTAAGCGGCCTCCGTAGTCTAGAGGTAACGTTCCCACCTCATGACTCGTAGTACGCGGGTTCAAATACCCGGCAGAGGCCGTCGAATTTTTAAGGGCAGAAAAATTCGGGGAACAAGTCCTCCGGGAGGGACTTTAAGCCGTGGGTCCCATGTCGTAGCTTTACGGCACGTAAAAGAACCTCATATCTCCAAAGGAGGTCACTGAGCCAAATTACAGACGTTTCCCGCCCAACAGCAGTCTCTAATACCTCTGGTAGATGGGGGAAGCATTATAGATACCTCTCAGCTAGTAGAGCCGGTCTTGCTGGCTGAGTGGGACTGATGGTAAGCACCAGTACCGGTAGGATATAGAGACTGGTAGAAATCATAGAGGGAAGCACAATGGACCAATACAGGTCTAAGTGCATGGGGAAACCCACCCTCTCCAATAACTAACTAACTAGACGTGGTGTTTGAATTGATTATAATTGGATTTACTGGACTCACAACTCATAATTACAGTTAACTGTAACACTGACTAATCTACACACTTGACAAATCACTGTAGCATACGCTCAGTCTCTGTCTGTTATGTCATCACTGGTCATTATTCTCTGAGTCTTCACTAGGCATTGCCACATTACAGCTGGTAACCATGGAGGTTCTTCTGCTTTGGTGATTATATCCTCACTGGATGACAGCTGGCATGTATTTCCCTCAACTACAACTCATTTCATTACTGGCTAACAGATCACTACTGCACACGCTAAGTTTTCTCAGTTTGCTATGCTTTCACTAGTTGTTTGGAAGCAGTTCCCGACAGTCTAGATTCTTTGATGGTGCTTGCTATATAGCCTTGACATGGGCCACATAGATAACACTGCTTCCAACAGTTCTCTGTTGTTGCTTAACATATCCATTTCTATGGATGTGTGTTTATCGAGCCATTGCTTAGTAACAGACGTATCTTCTGGCTCCAGTATTCTGCCTTTCATGTGTCATGTCCCAGTATTAATTTTGATTTGGTGTTGTAGCTCCCCAGTTTTTAAGGGATTGGGAGAAATATAATGTGTCACCAAGTACAGTGTGCACCAAAATATGCAGTACTGAAACTCCCGCATCTCAAATACACATGTGTTTGTCGACGTGGCATAGCTCCAGCCGCACGTGTTCCCAGTAGTGAAAAGGAAGTTGTGTTGTGCAGTTGTTGGAAATGGGTCTGTCGAAGGAGGGAAAGAGTATTCATGGTTGAGTATTATTTCACCTCATACGGAAGTGGTCACCAGACAACTTGCTTCCTTGGTTTTGAGGGGCCAGATGTTATTGTCCAGAAATTGCTTCATAGTACACGTGTGACGATATGGTGTGCCGTCTCAGCACATGGTATATTAGGCCCCTATTTCATTGAGGATGAGGAAGGCAATACTCTTACTGTCACCCAAAAACACTACAGGGACATGGTGATCAGACTATTTCTACAGGATTTGAGAAGGTTCTGTCATGCAAGGGGCCTTCACATGAATAGACAGTGGTATCAACAGGACGTCTTTTCATTTCAGTACTGTAATTTTTGGTGCATACTGTATTTGTCATCGAATCTAGACTGTATTTCTCACATGTTACATATTTCCTTGCATGCCATATTCATGGAACAGTTAGAAGTCATATCCACTATTATTTAGTTGAAATTGATGATTTTTAACAAGCGTTTTGTTATCTATGTGTCCATTGTTTCTCACAGTTTATAATTACCTTATCTGTATTGTTTTCTGTCTTGTAGTAAAGAAGAACAGCTATAAAAAGCAAGAAATGCCTTTGACATGTTTCATCTGAGCTGTAGAGAGACAACATATTATTATTCATCATGAAGATGAATATTTGTGGAAGCTTTCACTGTACAGAGGAAAATAAGTCATGAAATACAGCCATGATCTATCTGTACTGCCGTGCCTCAAACATATGGGAGAATGCAGAGATTGTCATGTAAAGCCATGAATGAGAGGTCTGTAATTCTTAATACTTTGTATGGCCAGTGCCATTTAAATGCCCGTTTCTCCTCCAAATGGTTTCAAGAGGCACAGAAATTTCATAAATTCTAGTTTATAAATTGTAAGATGTTTGCATATGTAAGGAAAATGTTGCACTGACATGCAGAATAAAAAATTAAGGTATTCAAATTCTAGTATAGAGTGATATCAGTGACATAAATATTATTTAGTAAACTTTGACTATGTATCATTCATGTATGTGGCAGTCTGTTCTTAGAACAGAACAAGACCTCTCCTTGATCCTCGACTCATGTTTCAACATGAGAACAGTATGAATAAGGAGGGACATTCATTGACAGAAAGAGAAAATACAGATTAACCTTTAAGAGACGGCCCTTTAAATTCCGGTAATGGCTGCGGGACTGATTTAATTTAAATGCCCTTGATTATAAAGTAATAAAAATTGTAATCATTTACTAAAATTGCTGTGATTTCTACAATTTTTATGATAAACGAACCAAATAAATGCTGCTTGTTTCTAGAAAGAATATAGAATCCGATATTGTAATTTACAGACTTTATAAAATATGTAAAAATTTATAGACTGATTCCAACTGAAATATACCCCAATTTGTCGTCTGTCTACAAGAATTCATACAGTTCTTGCAAGTATGAATGCGGCTGATGTGGCAACACAGCGAAATCTTAGCTACCCCTGATTTAGGCTAGCCTCTATCAATGTTTATTCAAGTACGTTCTTTCGGTATGCAGAGATGTGGGCGCGTATCCGTTTATAAGAACCCTGATTGTTTATATTATCGCTTATAGCTACACAACGAGTGTTCTGTTCTGACCTGGTAGGCTACTGTATAAGAACTCTCAAGGTTAGCGTCCGTATAACAGCCCACCGCATCAGAACACTCAAGGTTAGCATTCTGCGAAGTTGTAAAGCAACAAACCATTGCGTGGTCTCGTTTGGAAGACTGCGACATATTTCAGCTCATAAATGACTCCGAATCAGATTGTTGTAAAGACAATTCTGAGAGTGGCGTTGAGGAAAGTGAATCGGAAATTGATTTCGACGAAGAACCATCATCTTGGTTGGCAACCTTGGGACCACCACACCAGCATGGCAAGAGGAGTGTGAATAATTATTCAGGTGGAGCTGTGGGCAAACTGTGGCAAACAGTTATAGCATCTGTCGTCGAACCTGGAAATGGACAAATAAACTATTTTTCCATCTCCTGGATCTGAACAGTTACATCCTGTTGTCACACAGAGAATTTCATCTCGCTCTTGTGTGGAACATGCTGGAAGGGGTCCATCTCGACCTCAACGGACCAGGGGTCAAACCCCTGCCGTTTCATTAGAGATATCTCAATTAGAGGAGGCCAAACCACATCACTGGCTGACTTCCTCTACTTCGCAATTTAGGTGTTGTGTGTGCTTTTCGCGTGGGAAACGAAGAACCGTCTGGACAAAGTGCATGAAGTGTGACGTCGGACTCTGCATTTCCGGCTGATTCCAAGAATTCCACACGAAGGCAACATTCCGTTAGATGACGCAGGTGGGAAGACAGACAACTTATAAAGCTGGTGTCCAAAAATCATGTAAGTAGAACAAGAATTTATAACTTAAAATTAGATTTTAAAAAGCCGGCCGCACGCGTGGACTGCGCGACGACATATGGTGTCGTTCGTCCCCTTGACTTTATTTTAATGACGCCATATGGCGTCACTCGGCTCTTAAAGATTAAGGCATAGTAAATGCAGAGCCTGACTGTAGGTGACACTTCACATTGCTGTTATGTGGAGACCTTTATTGTTGAACCATAAAACTAAAAGCTTTGAGCTGTCAGACAGAATTCTTTGTCAGGATTGAAGGTAGTTTTTGCTGTAAATTTTCAAATTGACTGTGATGAATGTATTAGCATCAGTTTCTTGGTCAGGCAAGTGGCTGTAACTTTTCACTCCTCTCAATGTTGCAGCAGTGTAGCACAGTTACGTTAGGTTTCGTGCATAGTAAATATGTTCTGTAGTCTTTATTTTTTTAATATTTGTATGTTGACTTTACATCTTACACTTGACTATTAACCATTAAGAAAAAACTATTGGTCTTTTGTCTCAACTGCATGAACAAACTGACCTCTCATTCTTGCAGCTTCATTTGTTTGTATTTGAAGTTTCAAGGTATATGATTTTTGGCCTTTATTATACCCACTCGTCTTATGTGAACCTGCTCTTGTTGGACCATTTTCCCATACTTTTGAAAGAGTTGTAGGATGTACAGCTATCCAAAAAGGACAGAACAACACAAACTATTTACTCTGCATTTAGTTTGAATTCATACTTTTAGTACTCAAGGGACTTGATTGTTTCCTTTAGTTATAATATTAAATGAATGTGTAATTATACATATTAAAGAGCATGTAAAGTGCTGTTGTGGGAACTGAGTGAGAGAGTGGGTCACATGCCAGTGTACACATGCCTCTTCTTCAAGGGAAGGTTTGTGACCACCATTCTGGAGACTTCCAGAGACTTAGGGGTATGTGACTTGACAAAATCATAATCGCAAGGCAAGAAGAAGACATTTGATTCTGAGCTTAAAAGAGGCATAGAGCATCTGTATGAAGTGCTATGACCCACAAGCTATTTCAGAACAAGGACACTGCAGTGATGTACAGTGAAGTAGTAGTGGACAAAAACAAGCTGACATCAGGATCTTAACTGGCTACTGACAGTGAGACAGTACCTGTTCCAGAACATGATAATTGTTACAGTACTGTGATATCTTCTTGGATGAGGATTGACAGTTTCATGTACAAGGTTATGTCTATTGTCAAATTAACATGGGTTTACCATACTGAAGTTATCACATTTTCTGTCAGTAAAAATGCTGGTTTAGCAGTCTGTGTAGGAAGTGTTTAAAGAAAAAATACAAATAGCTGTAAATATGACAAAGGAAAATGAAATAATATGACAGTTAACATTGAATAACATGAAAGTAAGTTTAGCAGAGAAGTTGCATGATCAGGAAACATGGAAAGAGGATTTAAATAATACATTGGTCTTCATTTATAAGTTAGTTGTCTTCCTTTCCCGTTAAACACTACTGTCACAGCATTTCATCCCGTTCAAAGAAGCAGTTTGGTTTCAGCAACTTATGGGGGGGGGGGGGTTGGAGAATGCGATACCAGTCTTGAGTGTGGAATCATGGAAGAATTTAAGAACATTATTGTCTTGCGCAACTTTCATCAAATATTTAAAATTAGAAATTAAAAGTGGGTGAACTAAATCTGCTACTTCATTGCATCCACATTCATGATGAATTTGTTTTGGGTTATATACTAGTACAGGGCTATTATAAGCTGTTGAGTGCTTAGAGATTTGTGTATTTTCTAAATGGTTACAGACACACTGAAACAACTTGAAAATAGCATGTAAACTCATGAAGTTCATCTAGAGATGTCTGATAATTCTAATTCTTTCCATACTTGCTGTAACTGTGACTGACTTTGGGTATGGCTTGTGGAATTTGGTCAGAAGGACTGTGCCATCAGAGGTTGGTATACCTGAGCTTTCACGTATCACCATAGATATAGCCCAGGTATTTAGAAGTGACAGTCCTCCGACGCAGAGTAGGAGAAGTATTGGTAGTGGCAGGGAGAGCTCCAGCATGCTGACAAGTGTGGAGGGGAATGCAGTACAGACGTTCTCAAAAAGAAATAATTTCTTACCTCATTGTGTTGCATAGTGTTGGCAGTTTAGTCTCAATGATGTTCACACATCCGATGTTAAGTTTTAAGTGCCAAATGGCAGACTGTTATGCACTATACACTATTATACATTTTTCACTGTTATATACATGAAGAGTTTATTTACATATTACACAGGTCTATTCTAAAGGGGCAACACCGCCAGTGTCTGCATAGATATCATCTCCACATGACTGTCCTTCCTCGTCTCCTTGTGGAGATTTCCTGGGTCTTTCTTTATGGGGTGTCAAAAAGAAAGTGGAAGCCCCAGATTCTATATTTTTTGTTTCTGTTATTATTCTTCTGACACTACTTTCCGATACACCTGTTGCCTTTGGTACTTCCACTCCATTGTTCTTCACTGTAACTGTGGTCCAGCCTCTTTCATATACTTATATACATTACTAACACTTTCTCTTGATTGTGAATGCAACACTTTTCCACTCAATTTACTTCGTGTAGGTGGCATGTTAAAGGAGATAGAAAAATGTACAAATATAAATAAACAATAAAATAAAATGTTAATACCGTAAATAGAGAATAATTCACTCAAATATGACTCCAAGATTCAAAACTTTTTAACTTGACTGTACAAGGAATAATGCTTTTAACTGAACTTGAGAAGTCTGCTCACACTAAAAACAAATGAATGACTAATCACAACACCCCTCAACTTTCACGAATGGACCTGCCCATCCACTGCGCAGCTTTTCCTGGACTGTCACTTCTAAATACCCTTATATGGAGTAAGTTCCAGGGATCTAGGATGCAAGGAATGGGTCCTCCTCAGCCTATCCAAGCCTGTGGCTGGTTTTCATCAAAGAATTCCCTCAAAGCCATATGAAGACAAGGTGGAGCCCCAACCTGTTGGGAATGTAGTAGCTTTGGGAAATCTTCCTTTAACTGGGACCACACCAAGGATTGTTTCAGGATGTTTAGGTGTGTCTTACCAGTGACAGTAGCTTCTGCAAAGATGAAGGAGCCCCACACTGTTGTCTTTGACAGAACACAAAACATTCACTCTCAAGAAATTAAACGAGGTAGAGGGTAAAGAACAGTATCAGGTTTAAATCTCATATGGGTTGACATCTATGGAATACTTGGATGGTAATGGGGATATTAACCTTTAAACGCCAGACTTCTGAAATGGTGGTAAGCTTGAGTTGGCCGGAGTTTATTTAAATGCCGACTGGTGCGTGTTTAAATGCCTGTTGCTACTCTGCATTTAAATGTCCATTCCTGTTAGGGCGCTTAAACGGTTTTAAGCATTGTGTTTAAAAATGCTGTATCTAACTCACTTTTTATGATAAGTGGATGGAATTAACTTTGTTTGTATCAGCAAAGTACATAGTGTCGCATATTATAACGGAAGATTTGAAAATTTTTATACGTGTACAAAGAGTTATACTCTATTTTCAGTTTTCTTCTTTTAATTTTGATGTGTACTGCAAAAATGGTTTCCCAGTTCTTCACAGAGTTGTTCTGCATTATAAATTCATTTCTGTTTCTAACACTTGACAAATTTTAGCAGTTCCTGGTGTCATAAAACAGATGGAAGCAATAAAATCATTTGATTTTCTGCTAGCACTGCTTACACTGTTCGGATTTTCGAATCTTTTGACTGATGGACAGAAGAGTGAAAGAATGGCTATTCAAAAGAAAGCTAGAGGGGTCCCTTCTTCAGTACTAAGACCTTCCGTTATAGCTGCAAGAGATTATTGCTCGTTCTAGGGTCGTGAAAAGACAGTTGCATTGTGGCTGAGATACAGAGTGTGATCTGTTTTCTCTGCGTTTGTAGTGAAATCGAATACCGTAGTTTCATTTCAGCCTATATATACATCAAGCAGATAACAACAAAAAAGGTATGTACATCGAATTTAATATATATTTTGAACACATTAATCTGCAGAATCTGCAATAAAAATACTGGCTCATGAATGAGTTTGGGCATAACTCATACGTATATTATTTTTTGCTGTTGTTCACTTAGGGATCATTTTAATTCCTCTTATGGTTTTACTCAAGTCTGTGTGGTAATTACTACATTTAAAAGTAAATATTTATGACTGCATGCGCTTATACTAGAGGCGTATGCACGCACTTCCACTAGCGGAGTTTGAATGCCCGATTGTTGCATTTCAGACATTAAAGGTTAATAGAGTTTGGGAAACTGTTAGAGAGAATATCAAAATTTCAGCCAAAGAGAGAGTAGTCAATTGTGAATTAAAGAATCATAAGTCTTGGTGTAATGATGGATTTTCAAAACTCCTAGATAAAAGGAAACAAGCCAAATTGCAGTGGTTACAGGATCCAAGGCAAATAAATGGGGATAACTTGAACAATATAAGAAGTGGAACCAGTGGACATCTCAGGAAGAAAAAGAAGGCATGTCTATGCCATGTGAAATGCAAGCAGGGTTACCACAAGGTTCTGTCCTGCCCCCCACAGTCTACAACTTGTATATAAATGATACCCCCAGACAATCAATATTAATCTAGGTCTTTCTGCTGGTGACACCTGTCTCTATGTGACAGAACACAAGGAGTGCTGTGTTCTCAGAAAACTCCAGTGTGGCCTGTACTCGGTGTGGTGTGAGTTAAGGAACATTAAAATAATGAAGACAAGACTCAGACAATCTATTTCTCTCATCAAATTAGACCACCTGAGTCTCTTCTTACATTGAATGGATGGAACATTCCAATTGTAAAAAGTGTCAAATATCTCGGTGTAATCTAAGATAAGAAAATTACGTGGAGACCACACATAGAAATGATCGAAGCCAAGGCCTTCAGAACATTTATTAGAATATATTCCCTATACAGTAGTGAACAGTTAAGCTCTAACATTAAAATAACCCTCCACAAAGCTCTCATTAGATATATGATGACTTATGCTTGTCCTGCATAAGAATTTGTGGCAGATACCCATCTAATGAAATTGCACCACCTGCAAAACAGGGTTCTCCACACCACTGATAATTTTCCAAAGAACATAGTGGTTTTCAAAATGCACATGGCTTTCCACTTGCCTTACATGTATGACTATATAATAAAATTATGCAGGCAACAAGACTGCAAGAGGCCTCTTGGTAGGGGTGCATAACCTGACTATCAAAAAAAAAAAAAAAGGAATTGCACAGGTTAGCCAAGAAACAAGCCAGTAGATGAGGCTGTTCTGTAAGGAGCTGTAGCCTCAGTTGAGCTTAGTTATGGGGAAAGGTGGGGCTCAGCTGCCCTTGTTAGTGAATGACAATGAATGGATGTATATTCCCTGCCATCAGTAATCCAAGAGAAAATTTCCTTCTGCACCAGAGAGCTCAGTTCTTTATCCCTACTATGAAGAGGAATTAGCTGTAGGCTCATAGGTGTTTTCATGTGAGACCCATGAGGGTAAGACTGGTAAGACTGAATGAAGTCCCTTGATAGAGTTGAATAGCCTGCCCATCAAGAAGAAAAAATATCAGTCCAGCAGAAGATTCCTTTTCTACTTGGCTCTGTTACAGGTCCAGCTGGAACCCATGGTGGGAACTTTTATGTCCCTGCCAAATAACAGAGGGCTAGGATATCCAGTTGCTAGCAGCCCAAGACAGTAAGACATTATGTTGGGACCCATCTTGGCTGCATATGGATCTGTGACCATTGATTCTGCATGGTTAGAACACAGTGGGGACACGGTAGACCCAGCACGGGTTTGAGTGGTTATGGGGTGACTGGAGTTTGTCTGCCATTCAATATAAGATATACCCTTCGCTGAAAAAACTGGCATGTTATAGAGTGTTACACAGTGCACTGGGCTTTCAAGGATTGTTGAAAATATCCAACTATATGGAGTTGAGCCCTTCTTGAGAAGCTGCCAAATGTACAGCTACTCAAGAACATCCCAGCAATTTATGGAACCTGAACTTCATTACCATGTTCACAAGAACCCTCCACTGGTCCGTATCCTGAGCCAGATCAATCCAGTATACCACCTCATTCTATATCTCTGATCCATTTTAATATTATCCACCCACATATATGTCTTGGTCTTTCTAGTGGTTCTTTCCTTCTGGCTTTCCCACCAATATCTTACATGCGTTCCTTATCGGCCCCATTCATGCTACATTCCCTGCCAATCTCGTCCTCCTTGACATGATCATTCTAATTATACTTGGCAAACAGTAGAAGTTATGAAGGCTCCTCATTTTGTTAAAAGTGTCTGCTAATGAAAAATAACGATAACGATAATGATAACGAAGTTTCATACTTCGTGAAAAGCGGAAAATATCTAGAGCATTTGATCGACTCAAGTAGGGCGACGGTGTAAGACTATTCCATTGAGCGGGTTATGTGATTCAGATCTTTTCAGTGTAATCTGTACCCCTGCAGGAAATGTTAAAAACAATATCTCGCATCTTCATCGGATAATTTTAATATAAGGTAGGCCATCCCTTCTTCAAAATACTGCAGTCTTATTCCGTGTTTGCAAGCATATGCTACTGAATTTAGTTCATGACAGTTTACTAGCAATATTTCATATTCATGTAGCTTTCAAGGAAAGAGGGAAATTTGTTATTTACAACAGAATATTGGGCTTGGAAGTAGACAATCTTGAGGGATATTTGATTTTAATGATACGACTGTCCGGTCAATGATGTATTATTGTGTTAGTGATGTGGTTCAGTGAGTGGGGCACGATTTAAATTGCGGAAAATTATGAGAGCGTAATTAGAATTTTAATCATCAGTTATGTAGCAATTAAGCTTTTCATTTTATAAATTCTACGAATTTTGTTATTTTAAGACTGTGTAGCGTAAATCTTACTATGGATTTCTTGGAACTGATTAGAAGACATTGGTTTTTGGCTGGAACAATGGTTGCTATTTTCTGTGCAGAAATTTACCCGGAATTAGGCGCAAAAGAAGGCAAGATAAATTGTTTTTTCATTGCTATCATACGTAGATCTGGCAGATTTGGGCATACGAGAAAATGATTATGACAGGGTAACGTCCATTTACTAGAATAAATAAGCCGGGGTACAAATTTGACGTCTGTAGGATGATATTACATATATGTGGCCAAGTCACCGGAATATTGATCATAACAATAATGTTCCATTTGTGTGAGAACGCCCCTTGGTAATGTTAGCATAATTTTTTGATTGTTAACTCAGCCATTGAAACTACTGGCCACAACTAGATGGATAGGGTTGTTGAATTTTTCGTTTTTGGCGCTTCAATCAGAGTTTTCAATGGGTCATCCAGCCTTGTTCACCAGGGATGAAGAATATGTACAACATTCCCTCTATGCTTCTATACATCTCTCACAAAGAAATAGGTGAAGACTACCGTATCAAATTTATAATCATATGTTACACCACGTGTTCCAAGCCATATTTATTCATGTTATAGATCAATGTATTTTGATATGGAAAATGTTAATGAGAAAGTACGGATTATAGTAATATATGTTATGTTCAGTGTAGCAGAAGAGAAGGGCAGTAAATTATTACACTGTATACAAAATAGGAGTATTATAGTATTGTATTCAAAATAGTAGTAGTAAAGAGAAGGAGGGAAATTGAAGAAATGTTACATTCTCCTTCACACCCCATTCCTTCTTCCATGGCTCTCTGGCATCTCCTTCAGCACTGCACTCACATAGCTGAAACTCTGTTACCTGCTATTTTACACAGGCTGTTAGAAATGGGTTACAGCCTTTAAGGTGTATAGTACTCACTTAAATGAGCAAAAATTCCCCGTCACATATGTCCAGAAACTAGTGCCTTCTGAGAGATGGGTGATATTCATGTGATCTCTGCAGCAGATGCTCAGTGTGGTTCCCATGCATTTCATCACAACTTTCAGCTCTCCATCATACAGAGGTGTGCACTCTGTTGAAAATTCCTGGTTTCACTTGAATTTCCTGACAGGCTTTCGCTGGTCATTGCTGTAATACTCCAAATCTTTGGGTTTCCCCACAAGCAAAAAAACCCAGACAATTAAGTCAGGGGTTGTGCAGGCCAGTTGACTGGGCTTCTGTGTCCTGTCCACTGTTCACTGAAAATCTGGTTCAGTTACTGTCTGAAAGTGCGGAGAATATGAGGTGGTGTCCCGTCATGCATGAGCCACATGTGTTGTTGCTGATGAAAAGGCACATATTCCAAGAGTATTTGTGAATTATTCACCAAAAGATGATGGTACACTGCAACTGTTAGTCTGTCAGGTAAGACAACTGGTCCTATGAGTTGATCACCCAAGATGCCCACCCCGACGTTGGTGGAAAATGGATGTTGATTACTTTGATGCCACAGTTGTGTGAAAATGACCATCCACCCAGACATGGTCATTATGGAAGTTCAAAATATTATCCCTTGTGAATCTGCTACATCAATAAATAGGGTGTTAGCTACAGACTGTGTGTTTCCAACACATTTTGCGAGAAGCCATTGGTAAAACTCTGTACCTTTACATGATGGCCAGGAAAAGTGAGGGCTTACACTCTCTGGATGTGGTGTGTGTAAAGTGATTTTTCATGGAGAATACTCCAGACAAGAGGAACACCAGTAACTTCAGCAGCTGCAATTCTTTGCCCTGGTTCCATTATCTTCTGCCCTTCTCAATACATGAACTTCCATATTGGAAGTTCAAACTGATCAGGGACTTCTGCAACTTTACTCTCTTTGAGCAAAGGACCCAAATTCACTCAGTCACTTGTGAAATCTGGTGAATAATTTGTGGGATGGGATTCTGCGTTATGGATAATATTCTTCATAGATGTGACATGCTTCCTGAGAATTAACATTGGCAGAGCCATACATGATATGCATGTCTACCAGTTTCCAAGCAGAGTAATAAAATTCCAGTAGAAAACCACTAAATGGATTTCAAATTGAAAGAGTATCATAGCAATACGAGCTATCATTGCTTTTTCCTTAGTCATAAATATGTAGTGCTTCTACAGATTCTACTGAGACAGTCACAGTACATGCAAGGGAATTGTAAACATATTGTAATGTGTTTTGTTACTGAAGACGCCGTTCAGATCGTTAATTGGTTTATTTAACAACCTACAAGTCTCGGCTACAATTATTTATAACACAGTTGCGGGGTTTCACACTTTATAACCCAATTCGCAATAATCTGTTCACACTGTTGCAGGGTTCCACAATTTATAACCCTATTCGCAAATCAATTCACTCTATCTTCAGTAGGCTACACATATTAGTTACGATACAGGAACTATGTAAGTGTCCCTGTATCACACACACACTTCGGCGGCTGCTATATTTCATGGCGCCACTCCTTAACACACACTAACTCGTTCGATGCTGACTGGAGAACTCACTTCAGCGGCTGATACACTTTAACTGACTTCAACTGCACTCGGCTATGGCCGCATTTCAACTCAACTGTCTTCGTAGGCAGTGTAGCTCTCTTATATAGTCGCAGTGCCCGCCTCTTACGCAGTGGGTACCGCTGTCGCCTGTTACCCGTGTCACAGTTGCGTTGCGTGTTATGTCACCATGCAGAGGGGGGTGACGGAGTGCTGACTCACCCGCCACGTCACTGCTGGGGGGAGGGGTTCTCTGTTGCGCAACATGTCACAATATGTATAAAGGGTCAAGAATCTTCTCTCCTCCACATTATCCATAGCAGCTCTTGGGCCCACCCAGCCTCCTATCCCATGGATACCGAGGGGCTTTTTCCCCTGGGGGTAAAGTGGCGTGAAGTTGACCAGTCACCAATCACCACTCCCCCCTATGCCTTCGTGATTTAGTGCTTAATTAGTTAAGCACAAGACAGCTTTACCTTCATTCACCATACCACCTTACACCCTTTAACCCTTCTTTAACATCCTGTATCTACTATAATATAAGGTGAGTACAGGAGGCTGTTTCCCTGTGGTAAGGCAGCAGAGGCATGAAGCCAACCATCCACCTCCTATTGCCAATGTTAAGAATGGTGAAGCTATACCTCCACTCCCTCATAAATCTTCATGGCATGATAATTAATTAAAATCAGGGATAAGTTTAATAATAATAACGTAACCTAATCAAAGTCTGAAGTGAACCAGTGTTGCCTTAAAGACACATATTCTTCCAATGAAGGTATTTAATAACACCAGTCTTTGAGCTATCACAGAGTCTAATGAGGTCTTTAAATCTCACTTCCTAACCATGTTTAAAACCCTACACACGATGTTTGCCAACTTCACTCATTTTTAAATTATTGAACAGTTGTTTGTGTTCAAAGTTTATAACATAGGTCATGGAAGGAAAGCAGAGAGCATAAGTGAGCATACTTGTAGCTGAACAGACAGTGGACTGCACTAAACTATGAGTGTATAGCCCAGGCCTGCACAAATTTCTTGTAAGTCTAGGAACCACTGCCAAAATAGGGGTCAGAATAAAAACAAAATAATATCTCCTGCAATTGCTATGATTTTGGGAGACAAATGGTGATTAGAATGTACAAATAGAAGAAAGAAGCAAAGGAAATAAGAGCATGAAAAAGAGGAATGGAAGACTGAAGGTGAGGAAAATGTTTGAAGATGAAGGAGAGGAATGATGGCATGATGGACAAATAAATGAGTTGCTGGAACAATAAGGAAGAAAGGAGAGAAGGAGATAGAGATACAAAAGGAAAGAATAAATTATTTTTCCCACCATCTCTGATGGGTCATTCATTAATGTAATAGGAATAGTAATTTTAGGTGCTGGGTGACCTGGTACTGGAACTTGTGCAGGCTTGGTATTGCCCCAACCATTTCTTAAGAAAGTATGGAACTACTACATATGAATACAGACAACAGTACAGTAGTGAATAAGATATGCAAGTTGAACCACAAACTACAGAAATTCTATTCCTACCCAGAAGGAAATATTTGAAAGTTCATATACTCTACTGTTGATATATGAGCATTAATTAACCCTTTAAAACTCAGTGGTTCCATAGATACCACCTGTTTGAATATGCTGGAACTTTTAAATTCTTCCCACAGAGTGTATTTATATGCTTCATATGGTTTTCACAGTAAGCCACGATTATTTTCCTAAACAGGATTAACCAGTTGATCTTCAAAGTGAAGAAATAATGTGTTGCCTGTGAGGTATGAACTGAAGTTTTATGTATTATTTAGAAGCAGTTTTAGTCTTTAAAGGGCTAAAGTAAAGGAGATTATTGAGTTTTTTTCCCCATGTATTGCCTTTAATCCGATTTGAACTCTTTCCTACATTATAGGTCCTCTGAATCCAGAAATTACTGTTAAATATGGTGCTATCTCACTCATCTTCCTTGTCAGTGGACTGTCAATAAAGTTAGAAGAACTGTTGGTTGCTGTTACTAATGTTAAAATACATATATTTATCCAGTTTTATTCACAAGTATTCACACCAATAATTGTGAAGATACTGACATTATTCCTTTGGATGGTTGGTGTGAATGAATGGATTTTAAAAGGGTGAGTTTTAGAAACACATGGTTTATATACACCTCCATATTATTGAATATATGTCAGGGATTACTGTGCCGTTTCTTTCATTGATGTTTTGGGAAGTTCACAGATCCTAAAGATTTTACCTGGACCACTGTGAATTACACTAAGGACTTTTGTTGACTGCCCTCAGATTGATTACCATTGGCTGCATGCCACCCCCAGTGTCTTCCGCTGTCATTCTGACAAGAACTGTTGGGGGAAATGAGGCAGCCGCAGTTTTTAACTCTGTGTTGGGATGCCTTATTGGAATTATACTCACTCCTTTTACACTTCTGTTTTTTGTAAGTATCTGCAGTTAAGATTATGGTTCATAATTTTGCTCACTGTTTGTCATAATCTAGTCAGTGAGCTTTTACAGTTTTTCAGCATCAGAATCAATATATTTTTTTTTTTCTAATTCATCAGAATCACTGTTCTCACATGATTTAAAATTGGTGAGGTTACTAACACCAATTACTTCTTTGGTATTTATGTATTAAGAGGTGACTTGAATAATTTGAAAATTTACAGCTGTGTTAGGACATTTGTAGTCAATCTATATTTTGCCTTGAACAGCAAGTCCACAACTGTCAGTCTGACCTAAAAGTTATGTTGCACTGTGAAGAATTCATTTAGAAATGATGGATTTGTGGAATTTGCTGAGAAATGAAAATCAGTATTTTCAAAGATGTGGGATTTTGACAAGTAAACACAAGTTGTGAATAAGAATTCAGTGAACCTTACATTAATGACAAGTTTTCTGGCAGTGCGCCATAAAAGTTTGCAGTAAGAAAGGGAGAACAAAAATCTTGGTCGTGGATCTGAAGGAGAACTGAAGCCAGGCATAATTGCACTGGTGAGGGTCAGCTGCAATTTAACCAACTGACGGACTGAACATGCATTTTGGCAGTTGGTATGCTGATGAATGAATTCCTATCAGGTGGTGTGATTATGATACAGATGGAGTATGCATGTGCCAACATCGGAGAAAACGTAATTTTTAAAGTTACTGGAGTCACTTATTAATAGGAAGGTACACTTTTTCTTTAATAACATTTTTATTTTTCAGTGTTTCTGGTGAGATTATTTGGACAGTGTTCATCATGTTAGGTTTTTATAAAAATACAGTGTTTAAGAAATTTGCTGTTTACATCACGAGACGTGCTTAAGGGGCATATTAGAAAGTGTTAATCTCAGTCATTGGAAGCCAAATGAGAAACAAACACAGTAAACAGTATCCAAAAGAATATAACATACAGTAACAGTGCTGTGTTTCGCTTCAGTTGCTATAGTCATACCAAGTGACAAATTTTGCTTTATTTCTTTCATAACTGGAAAGTCAAAAGAATAGATAATCTCAAATTATTGAGTCACAAAATAATTAGAGATCAAAGATAAATGGCTTCTATGAGTGACTGTTCTTTCTAACCTAAGTGAAATTAGAGTACATACATGTATGTGCATAAAATTTATTATTCCTTCTTCCATTCAGTCATGACTTATGGCTTGATTGACTGGGGAAACTTGTCACATGCTGCAACGGTCTTTAAGCTGCGGAAGAGAGTTATGTGATTGATGATGTGTCATGGTTACAGGGAATCATGTAGAGATCTCATCAAGGAAATAAATATACTGCCTTTAAAATCACAGTATATATATTCACTAATGATGTTTGTAATTAAAAAACAGAGATAAATGTGTTACAAGTAAGGATTATTATGAAGTAAAAACCAGACAAACTATTAATTTACATACAAGGTTTGTCTGGATAGTAATGCAGTTAAGTTTATAAAGAAAAATTTATCAAGATATCGTTACAAACGTTTAAAATTCTTCAAAGTACTCTCCTTGGGCATCCACACACTTTTGCCAGCGACTTTTCCATGCACGGTACACATCCTGAAAGGCGTCGACGGGGACCTCATTTAGAGCCTTTGTCATGGCAGTTTGGATCACTTCAGTGGTTCCAAAACGGGTTCCTTTCAGGGCAGTCTTGTTCCTCAGGAACAAGAAGAAGTCTGCAATCACTCGCGATCGTCACTCGATTGTTCTTGTGGTCATCAATCAACAATTTGGGGACCAACTTGGCACACACTTTCCACATGTGCAAATTGTCGGTAACAATGTCATGCACAGTGGTCTTCAGAATACTGAGAGTCTCTGCTATCATCCGAACACTCATTCGGCGATTGGTATTTAGAAGATCATGAACATGAGACACATTTTTGTCACTTTTGCTGGTTGACGGCTGTCCAGAGCGGGTGTCATCCACCACCTTTCCCGCCCATTTTTAAACAACTTTAGTCACCTGGAGAATTGAGAATAGGAGAGAGCAGAGTCCCCGTATGCTTCCCGAATCATTTGGTGGGTGTCGGCGAGGCTTTTGTTCAGTTTAGCACAGAACTTGATCACGTAACTTTCGATTGTTTTCTCCATTGCACGTCGTGACACACTAACAGGAGGTTCACGGAAACAGTGATCCTGACGCTCCCAGAGCTGAGAGCAGACTGAGCTTGGAAGCGTTATGAAGCTAAGAGTTCTCCCCCCTTCCCAACTGGACCGCACATGCTGTGACCAGGAGGAGTGGCAGGAAAGATCCAATTGCATTACTTTTCGGACAAACCCTGTATATACTAGGTTAACCTGGCCATATATGGTAAAGGAGTATATCACATGGCAATAAAGGTTTTTAATGGACTTCCTTATAACCTTAAATAAATCTCTAATAATCCAAAAAAGCTTAAAGTTAATTTAAAGGACTTTATATATTCAAATTCTTTCTATGCTTTGGAGGAATTCTTTAAAAGATTACTGTATTTATCTGCAAAAATTGGGTATTTTTGATTATATTGTTATACTGGGATGATTTTACACATATGTACATATATTTGATGGAATAAATTTGTAGTTATTGCTTTCGTGCCATTTACTAGGTTTTTTTTATAAGAGTACTATTATGTTCATACTACAATATCTGAAGAATTGTTTTAGTTATATTAATTAATGCGCATGTTGATGCTTACTTTATTATGTACTTTCTGATGTGTATGACTATATATACATTGTACTGCTTTATTCGCGACTGTTTCCACATCCTATGAAATTGTTTTCTTTATGGATTTATGGAAAATGAATGAATGAATAAACAACAGAGATTTAAACTGTAGTCATTGTGCAGCATAACATTTTTCCATGTCACATGTTGAGGTTAATATACTGTCTGTATACTACTGGCATATTGACTGCAGTGTTCATCACAAGAGGTCTGTTTTACAGTTGAGGACCACAACACTTGTCCCTGTGTTCAGCACCATATTTCAGCTCACATTGACAGTGGTGGTACCCCTTGCAATAGGACAACTGGTCTGTTTTGTCACTGACTTCAAAGCTTCAAGTTATCCTATTGGAATACTTGGGCAAATTTCCCTACTTTTCATAATCTTCACAACCTTCTGCCAAGCATTCCTGAGCCAAGATATGCAAATGGATGCGCATGATATTTTAACAACCATTTTGCTGGGTGAGTTTCAAGTTTTGTCTACCATCACTGTACACTGTAGAGATTGTAAATTGAATTTCTTGAGTATAAGTCTGTTTTATGATCTGATCTGGTAGTCTATTTTTCCACTTTGTTGACCTGAATAAATCTTATCCAAACCTGAAAGTGGAACTTGTTTGACTGCACTTTTTTCCACATTTGGAATGGAATGACAGTGTGAAATTGAAATCAGTTAGTGGGGTAAATTATATTAAACTTAGCTTTCAGAATTTTTGTTAGGCATTGAAAAGGGTGTGTAATTCATTAAGTGTAGAAAATGTAAACCTTCTAGCAACAGAAGGCATATGATGTACATTACAATATCTAGAATCTGAGGTTCTGCTTTCCACCTGCTGTCATGCTGGTTCTTGTTTGGCTTATTCTTCGACCCTGAAGTGGAGATGGTATGTTCCTTCAAAATGTTGGTTGACTTTCAGCAGACTGCATGACATTATATACCAGAAGCTAGTATTCTATGTTACCATGGTTCAAAAAAATTGACAGCTCTGGCACATCTTCCATGGTGTAATGTGACAATTTAGTGTTATGCAGATTTTAATTTCTAGTGTATTCTCTCTCTCTCTGTGCACGCGCGCATGCATGGGTGTATGCGTGCATCCCCCGCCCCCCATCCCAGTAGAAAAAAGTCAGTGCCAAGGATTCTGACATAGGCATGTGCCAGGAATGCTCAGAAACTACAGTGTTTATTATTTGTTTGTTGTTGATAGTACCACAATACCTTACCCTTTTGCTAACTCACAGTGAGTTCGAAGACTGACTGAAATAGCATGAGATGCTGGATTAGTGACTAGTGATAATATAACAGTTTTAAAATAGTTTTAAAGTTACATGAATTCAAGTGCTGGCGCTTCAGATCTTAAGGTGTTGTCACAATTTTTTTGTGCGTTTTGGATTAAATTCTTGACCTGATATGGATATACAGGGTGTTTCATGACTTTAGGGAATAACTTCAGGAGGTGATTTCCTAGGTCTTTGTGATCAAAAAAGTTCATATAAACATGTGTCTGATTTTGGACGGTTACTGAGTTATGACCGTTATTTCATTCCCGTACACGCCCTCGTATGAACCGCATCTGTCAGCTGGCAGGTCGCTATTTTTAGCCAATTACAGACAGAGCGTTCTCGTTATCTCGACACTTGAGAGCTACCTAAGGCGGGGGGGAGGGGGCTGGTATGTCCAGCGTGGTTCACAACCGAACGGCAGCCTGTGTTGTGGCCGGTGGTGACATTTTCAAAAATCAACTTTAAGCACCAATCAATTCAAATTAAAGGTAATTTCACGAATTTAACTCTACATTCATACTTTAAATGTATCGTGTATTATGCTGGTTTATTATTTTGTTCCGTTTATTGTCAGTAATCGTTACCTTTTATTCTGAGTTTAAAATGGTCATAACTCCATAAACCGTCCAAAATCGGACACATGTTTATATGAACTTTTTTGATCACAAAGACCTAGGAAATCATCTCCAGCAGTTATGCCCTAAAGTCGTGAAACACCCTGTATGTATCATGCATGTCATGAAAAACTTTTAATGGATGAGGTGTAGAGCCTAAAACTTTGCTTCAGTGCAAGTTTCTGATTGGTAGTTTAATAGAAGTCGCATATTTGAAGTCACTGCACATGGCCCTGTTTTCCATTACTCCTCTCCAAGCTTGCTTTACGTGTTCATCTCATTTAACCCTTCAGTGTGGAAGGCTGAGGACATTCACATCCAGCCATGCCATATGCTGCAGACAAACTATACTTAAAAGAGACAAGTAGTTTATCTGTAGCTTCATTTTTCAACATGATTTAAAAATATTTCTTCAGATGTTTTGTGGTTTGAAAGATGAATTTGATGTACAAAATATGCTGAAAAGTTTTTATTAGATTGTACTTTGACTGGTCGCTTTTGCCTTGTAATTGTAAGAAGCCATGCACAGTAGCATGTAACAGTATTTGAATGAAATGGCTATATACAGGAAAATTTCAGACAGAACAGTGGATTGTTTAAAATTTAGAGCTGTTGTGGTGCAGAGCTTAATACGTAATAAAGTATTGTGACGTGGATGGTGCAGCAGGAAGTAGGCGTCACGTGAACTCTGCGTTTCCACGAGTGATGTCATATACCCCCACTCCTATCATTATGCATCGCTGGGTAAGCACCCTTCCCTGCGAGGCTGTGACGTCACGCAACAGGCAAGCCCATGCAACAACTGTTGCTAGGCAATCGGTAAACATGCCTAGGCAACAAGGAAGTGAGGCATTTTCCCGTTGTCTGACTGAGGGTTTATAAGAGAACTGCACTGGCTAAGGAGTCAGTTGAAATATAGCAGCCACCTATGACAGTTTAATTGTAACAGTCGCCCAGCAAGCAAATCGTGAACACGGAAAGAAGAATACCGGAACGTGTGATTAGAAGTGATAGTGTGAGAAGGTATTGGGAGTGTGAAATACAGTGACCCTGGTATAGCTCCGTATTGTTGGACCGATGCTACTCCCGTCTTCACCCTACCACCTACAACCATCGTGAAGTCGGGAGCGGTTCACCGTCACAGGCTCTCGCATCGTGTTTACAATACTCCCTAAGGTCGTAGCAGGGAATCCAAACTCGCAGTGGGGGGCCTTACTGAAGTTAATGACTGAACAGATAATAATAACAAGATTTAATAAACACAAACACATTATAACTCACTACAAGAATATACAAAATATATAAGCCAATAGACATGGCTGATTTGCCCTATACTGATTCGCACTTCGCGGCATCAACTCAGTGACATGCCCAGTTCCACTGGCCCACCGACATTATGTACTTAAGTCACTTCCTGATCAGCCACAGGCGGCCGCAAGGAAAATAAATATATCCAAAAAAACAAGTCAGCCACAGGCGGCCCCAAAGAAAATATATATAACTAACTAAACAAGTCGGCCACAGGCGGCCCCAAAGAAAATATATATGTAAAAATGCTAATTAAACCACTTGCATATCGCCGCCATACTTATCCCCTGATAGCTGGTGACTGCAAGTAACCCCAACATCTGCAGCCAGCCCCCGACGACGCCGAAACCAGATTTAGAAAAAACCCTGCTGAACTGAAATTTAGAAATTACTCCCGCTGGTCCACCAGACGTCCTCGCCCAAGTGGATCCACTTATCAGACTAACTCCTCTGCTCCCAACATACTTATTTCCGAGAAACAGGGGTAGAAAGGGTAGGGAAATCACGTGGTATTGGGAAAGAGAAGGAGGGGGTATGCTCTAGGACCTCAGAAGAAGAGTAGCGTGGGAGATATGGCTGGAAGCCATGACGTCACGGAAGGAGCCATTGCTTCAGCACAGCTCAATATCCCCCCCCCCCTTCACCAAAGAGCACTCTCTTCAACTGTCTGACACCNCAGCACAGCTCAATATCCCCCCCCCCTTCACCAAAGAGCACTCTCTTCAACTGTCTGACACCCCGAGACACCCTCAAGAGTTCAGATGCTCACTCATATTCCTCCTCTGCTCCCAACATACTTATTTTTGAGACACGGGGGTAGAAAGGGTAGGGAAATCACGTGGTATTGGGGAAGAGGAGGAGGGGGTATGCTCTAGGACCTCGGAAGAGGAGTAGTTTGGGAGATATGGCTGGAAGCCATGACGTCACAGAAGGAGCCATTGCTTCAGCACGGCTCATTCTACTGTAAATACGTGAAGACTACTGAGGATAGAGTGAATAGAATAGTGTGTAGGGTTTGTGAAGTGTGTAAACCCGCAACTCTCTTATAATTAATTGTAGCTACGACTTGTAGGTTGTTAAATAAACCAGTTAACAATCCAAACGGCATCTTCAGATGCAAAACACGTTACCCCAAAAAGCAGGTCACAGGGCAGTTGGAGTTCTCGTCCGAACACTAGGCTAGCAGGGGTCAAGCCCGTAGTGTCGTGAGTGGATGCCCTGTAAGCCAGGAGAAAGAGGGGTAACCTCTCATCCCAGTCCCTCTGGTAAGTTGTGATGGCCTTCCGCAAGTGTGCCTCGATGGTTTTAATGTAGTGCTTCACCATGCCATCTGAATGTGGCTGCAGGGGTGTGGTGCGCATCTTGCTCACTCCCAGGCGTTACAAAATTTCTTACAGCAAATGAGACTCAAAATTACGGCCTTGGTCACTGTGCAACTCCCGAGGTATGCTGAAACGGCAGAAGAAGTTGGCAACCAGTACTTCTGCTATTGTCAATGCTTCCTGATTTGGAATGGCGTACACTTCGGGCCACTTGGTAAAGTGGTCCATAGCGATCAGTAGATACCGGTTTCCTTGGTCACTTCATGGGAAGGCCCCTGCAATATCAATGGCTATTCTCTCGAAGGGAGCCCCAACTTTATACTGGTGCATTTGCCCACGATTCCTGGTCCACGGTCCCCGGCTGGCTGCACATGTGTCGCACTGTCGACACCATTTCTCAATATCGGCTCTTGCTCAGGGCCAGTAGAATCTCTGCCGAACCTTATTCAGGGTTTTGTTAACACCCAAGTGACCTCCTGACAGTACACCATGTAGTTCACTCAGAACGTCTTTGACCCTACTCCAAGGAATAATTATCTGGGCTACTTGACATTTTCCGTTGGCGGATTTCCAGTTGCACTCTAATATGTCATTTCTCACAGCGAGCGATTTCCATTGGGCCCAGTTTGTGCCTGAATTCTAGTGATAGGACAGCAACATATACTGAGATTTCTCTGTGTTCACTTCTAGGCCATCCTCCTTACTAGCATCAGTTAAAAGATTCTGTGTTTTTCTTTATGGTATCTATGTTATCACCCAGTAGATTTGCATCATCAGCATAGACCAACAGCTGATATGTCCCAGTTAATTTCAGTCCCACCTGATTTTCCTGGCCCTTTCTGATAACATACGAGTATTCTAAAGCAAAGTTGAAAGCAGTGGTGATAAAGCATCTCCTTGTTTTAGACCTTCCTTGATAGGAGAATTATCAGACGAATGTTTGTCTATATGGACTTTACTCTACGTTTTGTTTAAACACATTTTAATCAGCCTAAGTAGTTCCATGGCTATCCCAAACTCTATGAGAATATTGTACACTACTCCCCTCCTAACTGAATCATAGTCCTTCTTGAAGTCTATGAATAGCAGATGTACTGTCTTATTGTACTCCCATTTTTTCTCCAGTATCTGACGAATGCAAAATATCTGGTCAGTAGTTGATCTGTTATGTTGAAACCCACACTGATGATCCTGAATAATTTAATCTATATATATAGACTTAACTTTACATTACATTACATTTATTTTCACTTCATGGATCCAATCATTTCGCCATAAGGCTGGATATAAAACATGTCACATATTACAAATTCATGATGACCACATCATTCACCCTTTGTCGAATAAAATATATAATCAGGCCTCTCACAGATAGCTCAAATTGTCAGGACTACACACATGGGTCGTGGAAAAACCACTGTCAAATTCACGCCTTGCCATTCCACACATACTGGCAAGCCGTATCATTAAAACAGTTACTTTGAGAGAAGGATATTGGATAAAACTTTGTATGACATTGATAGCAGTGACATCTCAAGATAATTACTACAGTCAGTTTTATCACCCTTCTTCTGAACTGGTACAATAATAAACTCCTTACACTGATAAGGCAATTCTTACTTAATTCAAGTAGAATTATCAAGCTTATGGATCTCAAACCATAGTATTTCACCTCCTGCTTGAATCATTTCTGCCAGAATGTGATCACTATCTGGTGATTTATCCTTTTCAACTTTGCAATAGCAATTTCATCCTCAGAAGGACTAGGATCAAGTACTAACGGTGCAGATATATTTCTATCTGCCTAACATCACTGACCATACGTACATTCAGTAACTGCTTAAGTAATTCTTCCACCTATGAAAAATGTGGGAATCTGCAAACAGATCACCATTCTCATCCTTCACTTCTTTACTTCTTCCTTACTTCTAGGATGGTAACCCCTCTTAAATTTATTTATTCCTATATACAGATATCTGATGTTCTTGTTCTTACCGTTCATTGCAGTCTCATTAATTTCTGCTTCAGATATTCCATCTTTTTATTCCTGAAATACCTGCTGGCTTCACATCATTTGTTGTTTAAATTATCCCCATTTGTTTTGCTTGGATCCTGTAACCACTGTAGTTTGGTGTGTTTCCTTTGCTATAATAATTTTGAACATCCTATGTCAAACCATGGCTTATGCGTCTTCATTTTGTGATAACCTAAACACTCTTTGGCCGAAATTTTGATATTCTCTCTAATAGTTTTTCCTAAGCTTTATTAATATCCATCTCAGCATCAAAGTTTTCCAAAGCTGAAACCTATTTGAGATTTCAACACGATACTGCTCTTTACCCTCTACCTCATTTAATGTAACATTGAGAAATTGACAGTTCAAGTACGTGTTGTAGTTTCTGTCATCATAAAGAAGTTCATGTTAAAAGCCATGCCTGCTGTACCGCATGTTCACTGTTCTTAAAACAAACACAAACGCAATATATTCATGCAACTTTGTAATTCTTAATTCTGAACAGTGCCGTCAATGTTTGTGTGTCATACTGACAAATGTGTTGCAGTGGTTTTGATCCTCATGTTCCTTACATGGCTGGTATTCTGGATTTCTTCCAAGATGATGCATTCGTTCCGTCCGGAGGATGTCATTGCCATAATCTTCTGCTGCACTCATAAGTCTCTCACACTTGGCAAGTAACACTTTTATATGCTGTAATATATATTTTTATTTCTTACAATTTACAATCTACTTTACAATGGAGCAATAAGTAAATATGTTGTAAGAAATCACATATGCTGTAATATGTGAAACTTGTGAGAGCTGGGTCACAAAAAGAAATGTTTTGTTGCAGTCAGTATTTACGAGCTAGTTTCCTCGATGCTGTTGTTGTACAGTTTGTGTAGCACTGTCATTTTGAAGATCCCTCACATAATGTACCTACCTAATATTGTTTATAATAGTGTCATCTCCTGAAATCGTAGTCTAAAATGGGTTGAGAATGCCCAACATCAGTAGTTAAAGTTACCATTCCATTTTGACAACAAACAAACATCTGTCAGTTTGTAAGCATCCAACATTTCTGATTTTGTAACTTTCCCTCAGAATGATCTAGAATGGTTACTTGATGACAGTGGATCTTTCATCGTCCTCCAAACCATACTCCAAGGTTCTGGCACATCATGCCATACTTTCTTCCTGCTACACAATTTCCTGTTTCTTTATGTTAGCATATGTATGGGAATTTTAGCTCATATAACAAAACCATGTCTTCTTATGATGTGTATGCTGATGTGGCTAACTCAGCTCACTGCCCTGGCAGCACTGGCATATCTGCACAAGTCAGATGCCTATCTACTACTGGAAGAGACAGCAGCTGAAAAAGAGGATAGGATGTGCATTACTACATGCATCACATACTCTTGCAGTGAATCAGTCCTTGAATGTTGAGCTAGTTGTTAAAAAATGAAGATTTATTTGTAGGATGTGCACCCTGTATTTTAGGCAGTAATTTCAATGTATGCACAAGACACATGAGTAAATATGCTGTTAGTAATTCCACATATATTACATATGTGAATGCAAGAGCCATAATTCACAATATATGCGTACTGTTACAGGCATTCCCATGTTACGTATTCTGTATGGAGGATATGCTCACCTATCCACTATATCATTACCTTTATTAGTATATCACCCTACTCAGATCATAATGGGAGGACTACTAGTGGCATATCTTCAGGACTGGATGATATCTAGGCAACGGTCCAGGTGAGTAGAGTCTGACACTGTGCCTCTTATTTTTTTCATATTGAATAATGTAAGTATGACTCTTAAACTGTGTTGCATGTGAATTGATGTGACTGACCCTCACCTAAAAGAGAAGGTACAACACTAGCAGATGGATTGGGAGTTGATAATTTTACTGCTTCCAGGTTTGAAAAGTGGCATAACAGCATCTATGAAGCAGTATGTGGAGAGAGTAGAAGCATGAACTTGAAACCAGTGGATTAGTGGGAAACTGGAAAGCTCTTGGAAGAATTTTGTGGGTGTGAACTGCAAAATATAGTAGCTGAAACAAGGCTTTTATAATCAGAAACCCAACAGACCATTGCTATGAGAGTGAATCTCGTCTTAGTGTAAAAAATTGAAAGATAAGGCTACATTCTTAGCTTATGATGCTGATGATTAAGACAAGTTGTCATCCACTATTATAAGGAAATATTAAAATTTTTGTTGTTTGAAAAATGTTGAAACAAAACCAACAGGACAAAGCTTCGATCAGTGCTGATAATATTTTCATGAATGATTTGAAGTCTCTAAATTCAAAAAGGGGGACAGAGAATTGAAGAAGTACCACTCATCATTGGTTATTAATTTGCTTATCCAGAGGAGATATTTTTCTTAGAAAAACTAAAATATTCTCTTCAGAAATTTGTACTAGACATCTCCAATGTCTAGACTTGGGCATTATCAGTTCTTTCAAATGCTATTTGAGTGAATGAGTGAGAAAGGCAGTGCAGTAATTGATGGAGGCCTACTTCAAGATGTTACGTGCATGAGATTGAATATCCTTAATGTAGTGCAGTTCCCACTAGAAGCATGCATTCACTAAAAGCTTCCACTGTCAAGAATTTCTTTATCAAGGGTGGGGTTCTTTTTGATATGAGTCTGGATATTCCCATTGAAAAAACAGTGATGACTGAGAAAGAACAGTAGGAAGAGATGGTGGCAGTCATGGTTGCCATCGTGGTGGTAGTGGGTGTAATAGTTTAGCCCAAGCCCCCTTCATTCCTTGATACTCTTCAGGGACTGGAATGTGTAAGAAATTATATATGGATGTTTGAGACTGACAAGAGTTTGACTGTTGTGTATAGTAATAATGAAAGTGAACCTTACCAGCTAAATGAAGAGAAAAAATGCACCACAATTTATGACAGGCTTAAGAAACAGTAAATTCTATCCTCAGTTGCTAATATTGCTAATCTTGTAAAGGTCAGTTTACAGTTTAATACTAATTGGACTTAACATGCGTAATTATGCGAGGAGCCTGTTTTAATTGGATTGATACATTTTTATATCTTGTAATAAAATTATGGAATACAGAGTAAACTACATAACTATTAGCATATGGAGAATGCATTTACAATTATAAACTCTGCACTAATACCAGTGTGTTGTACTGAGTTGCTATATTTGTATTTATATCATGATATGAATTATGTTTACTAACATGTCTGTATGTTATATGTCATAATATTCATTCATTCATCTGTAATCTATCAAGATGACAGGTCCACAGTCTCTTCCAAAACAGTTCCTCCACTTGTTGCGATCTAGAGCTTTCTCCTTCAAATGGGAATATCCTCTTCTGTCCCCAAGGTCATCCAGCATCTTCTTACGTCTTCTTCCTCGTCTTCTGGTCGCTTCTGTCCGCCCCTCTATCTTTCCTTCAATAACTTCTTTTAGAAGGCAGTTACCACGTAAGATATGACCAATCCAATTAGCCTTCCGTTTTCTTATTTCGTGTAGGATATTCCTCTGCTCACTGACTCTAAATAACACTTCTTCATTTCTCACATAATCGGTCCAACTGATCTTCTCCATCCTTCTCCAACACCACATTTCGAAGCTTTCCAGGTGTTTCTGATCTACTGCCCTAAGTGTCCAAGTTTCAGCCCCATACAAAGCGATGCTCCAAACGTCATAATAAGAAGTACAGAATTGTTTCTGCATTTAAGAACTGGGTTCTTAATTTTATTTTCTTATATATTTTACACCTGTTTTAGGAAATCTGTTGCAAAATGTAAAACAGAAGTGTCACTGCACAGTACTTATCTGTTTGTAGGACAAAACTGGAAGCCTAAGACTACACCTTAATATACTGCTTCCACTGCTAGATGGTACTTCAGGCAAAGAATTGAACTTTTTATTGTAAGTAAAGTAACACACATGTTTATAAATATTTCATACCAATTAAAGGAATGGAACTGAACTCTAACCTGGCGAGAACTTAAATATTTTTTCTTTTTAGTGTTTTTAAATGTCATGAACAAACCCCCCCCCCCTTCAAAAAAAGTAGAACAAACAGGGAGCTGGAGGGAACCATAATAGATAAACTATGATGTCATTAGTCAGTTGCAGTATTTGAAAGTTTGCTGGCAAAATACTGAGCATTATTTGTTGGTATATTCTTTTGTTTATATCCACATGGTTCAGTCACATATATCATTTCATAGCCTCTTCCCACAGTAATTTTATTTCTTCTGGTAATTAGTAGTAATGTCTTTTAGAGATTGTGATAGGATTGTTAGCAGTTTGTCACTTGCAATTGATTTACGTCTCGGAATCGGTATGCCCTTCAAACAATATCATGAGACAAAGATTATCCCTGAACACACTTTTTGTCATTTCAAACTTCAATGGGGCTATATTATTTGAGGTTATCATGGCAGTGACTTTGAAGATTACTGCTGTCCTCTTAAGATGACATTACATCATCAGAGATGAAGAGTCATTCTTCTACACTGATACTGTAGGTAGCAAATTCCTCCAAAACTCTGGTAAACATCTACTAGACCACAAAGCATCACATACCAGATGATTTTAATCTTCACTGTGGCTGTTTCATTTAACTGCAAACATCATATCACATGTTTTATTCAACTATGAATTCATTGTGAGCGTATTAAGTGAGATGATTGGGACGGAGGTATAGGGCAGATATACCAGTGCCTCCTCATTCATTTCCATCCCTTTCTGACTGCTACTTAGGATCATACCCTGTTGGGAGTATAATGCAAGTAAATTAGTTACACAGTTGTAATATAACTCAGTGCGTATGTATTAAGGGGATAAATAATGTAGAAAGATGTAACAAGACCATAACATACCCAGTAAGCCTTTATGGTTACAGCAGTGAAAATCTATTATGATCTGATTCTAAGTTTGTTGTAAAGTTAACAAACAGTACAAGCTAAGGCCACTGAGAAACACAGTCAATTAGAATACTGATGAAATACAGAATGAGAGCTACATTAACCTAACTGGAGGATAGAGTTAGCCAGTTAAGTAAAAGGAATGGGATACACTGGAGTTGAATAGAACCAAAATTCCAAAACAAATTTAGAATACACAGCCAAATACAATTTGGGTATAAATTACCACACCATGGCCACTGAAGACACACAGCTCAGGTTATTGCCCCAGTGGCAGGTGTTGTCTGGTCATTGGACAGAGTCACTGAATTGAGGTACAAGCCAGAAATGATTCAATGTTCTTCAATATACTTGCAAGTAAAGACCCAGGGATAAGGCAGAGGGGAAGACTTCTAGGCTGGAAGGGTGGGGTTCAGGGTATACAGGAAGGTGTGGTACAAGCTGATTCAGAGACATGCCACTCTTAAGTCAAGTATGCACAGCTCATAAGTACTTCTTCACTCTACTAGCACTGCAGGCAAATTGTTAAGAATGTGCCAAGAGCTTGACCATCTGTGTGTGGTACATGTAGTGATTTCCAGAAAAACAATATCTAGTGACTTTGGGAAGATCTGTTTCATTTATTTTTTGTCATGTTTGTGACATTTTGATAACTTGGCTAATTCTTTCCTCTCAAGTGTCTAATCACAGCACTTTCAGTTGCAGGTTGGTGCAGTGATGAGCTATATATGGAGTATACTGCAAGACTTGCTTTTAGAACTGGCTATGGATCCTAAGTATATTGCTGTAATGGGACAAGAGTTGGAGTCTTCTGCTTCATTCTTCATACAGTATCATTCCAAAGCAACTTCAGGGATGTTGTAGGAGAGTTGTGGACTGATATGGGTATTAACAAGCAAAACATCAAGACAACTTATATTCTGCATAGTCTTACTGTGTGACAATATCTGAGTACATGGTGAGGATGAGGTAAAGCAAAATATTTCTTGGTTGAAGGTTCTGGCAAATTTGTTTCCCAGGAGAAAAATATCAACTATAAAATAAAGTGCTTCATGTGTATACTGATAATGTGAAAGCATTACACATTTATAGTCTTTTACATGGATGTTAATCTCATTCAACCCTGTACCTTCTCCTAGGTTTGTATGGATCAACCAGTTCTTTACCATGTTGTCTTGCTATTTTTAAAAGTATATACTGTTTTTATATCTTATATCCAAAAAAAAAGAATTGTGCTGTGAATTCTTTTTGCCCCTAGTGGTTCAATATCAAAAATGGTCTTTATTGCATGATTATATGTTTGTTACATGAGTGATTATCTGAAAGTAAGTAAAGAAGGGCCATGGTTTTAGAAATGAGGAATTATATCAGTAGTTCAGTGATTTGGTACTTTTGTAATTTCAAGGTACATGGAGATCTGACTCAAGACCAGAGCCATATGGCATGAACATCATAGATTTTTTAGATACATGGCAACCAGAGGAATTTTTAACTATTATTTTCTTTAACCCTTTAGCAGTTGAGTAGTTAAGTGTACTGGTAACCCTCTCACATGTTTTCAGAGTAGTAAAATATTTATGGGTAAATTTCTGAATCAATTAGTGATGGAAACACAAGAAGACTATCATAGAAGTGAACTAACAGTTTTTAGGGTATACCATTTCTGAAATTTGGACAGGGCACAGAATTCTGTTGCATGGAGCACACTCATTTGAATTGGAACCTTCTTTTAGTATTCCTCAATTTAATGTTTTCCTTCATTTAGTGTTGAATTTCTATGATCCCAAGCCAATAACCTCAGTGTTAAATTATCTCTATTTAAGATTTTTATCAATTTAGTGTTCAGATCCACTGATCTCCAGGCAAACCTGAAATAGGGGTTTCATTGTATCTTGCTTCTGGTTATTCTGGAAGGTGATTTGCTTGAAATAAGGCACTCAGAGCCAAAGTTGCCCATCCTGGATATGAGTTTGTGTTATTTCATATTTGTTTTTGGATTCAGATCATCAGCCAGTCATATGACTGCTTGTAGCATAATATAAAACATTTTTGAAAGTTTCTGTCATCTGGGATATAATGCCATGTAGTCTGTTGAAAGTCAACCAACACTTTGAAGGAACTGTCACCTCCATCTTTGGGGTCAAAGAATAAGCCAAGCAAGAAACCAGTATGAAGCAGGTAGCAAGCAAGCTTTGCAGATATAATTTTATGTGTACATATAAGCAATCTCCTTTTATTACAGGACTAAAATATGTAAAATAATTTTTCTAACTCAATATTTTAGTAAAAGTTTGTTACACCTCATGATTGTCATATTATTTAACAGTTAATATAAAGCGGAATGATCAAGATACAGAGAAAACTAAGTATATGTTTTTTTTTCCTTAATATGTTAACCATGTATTCGCCTGATGATGGCTATTAATAGCCGAAACATGTAGTAGAGCCAAAACTAGGCACCGGTCTTGATATTAGTTGTGTTGTGACAGTTGTAATAAAGAAGTTGTAAGTATATGTTGCTTTCTTGTCACCATAATGCAAGACAAAATCATGACATAAAGATAGGTAACAGATGTTTTAAAAATGTGGCACAGTTCAGATATTTGGGAATGACTGTAATAAATCAAAACCTGATTCAGGAGGAAATTAAGAGAAGATCGAATTTGGGTAATGCTTGCTACCATTCAGTTCAGAACCTTCTGTCTTGTCTGCTGTCTAAAAACATAAAAATTAGAATATACAAAACTATAATTTTGCCTGTGGTTCTGTATGGGTGTGAAACTTGGTGTCTGACATCAAAGGATAAACATTTGTGTTGAGAATATTTGGACTGAAGAGTGATGAAGTGATGGGAGGTCAGTGGGGGGCTCTTGTGATCACAGTAAAGAACCTTTGGGTTCCATAAAATGCTGGGAAATTCTTGAGTAGTCGCATAATTAGTGGCTTCTCAAGAAGGGCTCAGCTTCATGAGTGAATAATGATCAAGATGTCTCATTATAAGACATAGTATTCTTGTGGATAGGTAGACTAGGTGAATTACCCATTTTCTGGGGCTGCTTGTGACATACAAAGCACTTTAACCCATGCAACCATGGGTTTTAGATTCCTAAAGCACTGCAGTTGACAAGACCAAGGCCATATGAGAAAATGAGTGAGGATAATTGTGGCTGCTGTTAACACTCATGAATCCCAAATACAGTAAGGTGCATGCTTGTTCACTGAACACAAGAAATATGTAATATTTCTACAAAAGGTCTGACACATTTTGATCTTTAATAATTCGGAAAATAACGAAGATAGAAATAAACTGGTTACATTGTTGGACTGAGAAACTAAAAAAGTTTTGTGTCTATTGTTAATAAAGTTGTACATGTGCTCCATTTGTTGGGCGTAAAATATCAAGATGATATTCAATTTCATGCCAGGTTCGGGCAAGCATGCTGACATCCACAGTGGTTATTGCGTCTGTTACTCTGGTTTTTAATTGATCGATGTCTCTCACCTGCATCTTATAAACAATGTCTTTGACATATCCCCAGAAGAAAAAGTCCAGTGGGGTTATGTCAGGTGATCTTGGGGGCCAAGAAATTGGACCACCTCGTCCAATCCATCTTCATGGAAAATGTTTGTGCAAAGCATCACGAACTATGGTGCTCCAATGAGGTAGCACACTCTCTTGTTGGAAAATAATTTCGGGCTGAAGCGCTGAAGTGACTGTCTTTTCCACAAAAAAAGAAAGGCCCAATGACTCAGTCATGCATAAGAGCACACCACACATTCACTTTTGGGGAGTCTCTTGCCATTTCACGGTATTCATGAGGGTTCTCTGATCCCCAAATGCGTACATTATGGCGATTGACTGTTCCAGAAATGTGGAAGCAAGCTTCATCAGATAACAATATGGTTGTAAGAAATCTTTCATCATCCTCTATTCTTGGTTACATATCTGTTGCAAAATCCATTTTCTTAGGCTTATCATGTGGTTCAATAGCTTGCACAAGTTGCATCTTATAAGCATACAGCCGTAATTTCTTCCATAGAACCTTGTGTACTGTTTAAACTGGCATATTCAATTCTCTTGCCGCTGTTCTCAAAGATTTCCTGGGACTGTGTGCAAATGCTTCTCGGACACACTCAACATCATCATTGCTTGTGCTGGGACGTCCGGAACTTTTCTTACTGAGGACACTTCCTGTTTCGAAAAATTTCTTTTTCCAGTTTATGATACTGTTTCTAGAAGGAGGATCTTTTTGGTAATGTGTTCTGAAGTTCCTTTGCATTTGTGTCACTGATTTCATTTCACAAAACCACACCGCTGCCTGTGCTCTCTCTTGCGGAGTCGCCATTTTCTCAACAATGAACACTGCACTGACAGCTATGAACACATTCGTGACCTATAAAGAGGAAATCAAACCTTTTGAGTTGATCTTTCCATCAGTGCTAAAGGTTTATTTCTATCTTCGTTATTTCCCGAATTATTAAAGATCAAAATGTGTCAGACCTTTTGTAGACACCCTGTATAATTATAATCTTAAAAGTAATATAGATATTTGGTAGAATATTAATAGAAGCAATGAACTCTACCTCTAAGGCATTAGACTGCTTAGAGTTGATGTCCATGATGATGATCACAACATTAATGTTGATGTCTATGACTGATCACCTTCGATGTGTACACAAATTAAAATATTATAGATGGAAAAGCAGGATGCAAATGAAAAACCATAGATACAAGAGAAATCTTCAATTGTCAAGGGGTTGTGTACTCATATTAGAGAGGTGACTGAAATGAAATCATATACCAAAATTTAGATGAAGCAGTTTTGAATATTGTGTTAGAGCATTATGTTTTGATCTATTTTCAATTGTCTTTATTTCCATCAGTGTAACTTTTGTATAGATATACTATACATTAAGTGTTTACTGCTACATGTTATGGCCTTTTCGCTGTCATCAACTGATGTATAAGGGGCAGTCAAATGAAAACGGGTCACCATGCATAACAAACACGGCGCGCAAGTTGGTAACACTGGAATTTGCTTACGGTACGAACATCTGGTGGGGACTCAGGAAAGCACAGTGAGAACATGTGCTTGCACAGTGAGAACATGTGCTTGCACAGTGAGAACATGTGCTTGCACAGTAGTCATTTGTTTATTGTGTTGGAAGTAAGGTTAAAGCTACGTGTGGTCATCCAACGTCAATAATGCTGGTGGGGACTCGGGAAAGCACAGTGAGAACATGCCCTCGCACAGTAATCATATGTTTATTGTGTTGGAAGTAAGGTTAGAGCTATGTGTGGTCATCCAACGTCAATAATGGAGGCAGGTAAAGAAGAACAGCGAAGTGTAGTGCGCTTTTTGACTGCTGAAGGAGTAGGATGACGAGAAATTCATTGTCACATGTCTGTTGTTTACGGCGAACACAGCATGTCAGGTTTGCGTGTGCTGGCATGGCATAAGAGATTCCAAGAGGGACATATGTCACTGCAAGATGATGCTCGCCCAGGACAGGCTCATCGTATCATCACTCCTGATGTTATTGCTGCATTGGATGGTCATATCCAGGCAAACCAATGGATCGCTGTGGAAGAAATTAGTCTTTTGACGGGAATAAATCACGGTTCCGTACACGCCATTGTCACAAAACACCTGTTGTACCACAGAATCTGCGCTAAGTGGGTTCCACATCAACTCACAGAGGAACAGAAGACTCAGAGAATGGCTGCATCACTGGGTCACTTGCAATGATACCATGAGGAAGAGTATGCTTTTCTGTCCTGTATTGCCACTGGGGACAAAACTTGGTGCCACCATTTTGAACCTGAGAGCAAACGGCAGAGCCCACAGTGGAAACACATGAATTCTCCTCCACCAAAGAAATCCAAAGCCATACACACAAATTCCGGTAAAGTGATGATGACGTTCTTCTTCGACTGCAACTTTCTCGAGCATGGGGCCACAATCAGTACACAGCGCTATGAAGACACTTTGAAGAAACTGAAATGTTCCATAAAGTCAGAACGCCCTGGAATGCTATCGAACGGCATTATCCTTATTCATGATAATGCACGCCCCCACACTGCCAACTCTGTGAGGAATACGCTACAGAGATTTGGTTGGGAAGTGCTTCAACATCCCCCCTACAGCCCAGATCTCTCCCCATGTGATTTTCACATTTCTGGAGACCTGAAGAGAGACATTCCTGGACATGGTTTGCATCAGATGAAGACGTGTGGCTGGGTCAAGATGTGGTTCCTTAGACATCCCACAAGCTTTTTCAAGGATGGGATTGACCATCTTATCTCCCAGTGGGATAGATGTATTAACAGTTTTGGAGGTTACTTTTGAGGTAAGAAATGTTCTTTAATATGTTTTGGCTTCTGACCCGTTTTCATTATACTGCCCCTCATACATTCACTCTTAGCTTGGCTGCTCCTTCCCTACCTTGGTTAGGGCTTATGTTTTCTTACATGGAGACATAACACTCCCTATATACATCCTTGTTAAAACCTGAATATTAAAATATTAAAATGTGTCCTATAATGTTAATCAGTTACTCTAAAGCCCTGTAACTATGAAATGTGTTTTCTTTTGTTGATATAGATTTATTTTAATTTGATTTGTCTCATTCTGGTTCGTCACACTATTAATTACAAAGACAATAACTTTCAGTCCAGTATGACATATAGGTTTACAATACTTTATTTAATTTCGTTACTTTATTGTTTTGGTAGATGCAGTATGTGGTTTTTCACTGATGGCTTGTCGGTTAAGGTCTGTGTTCTGGTTGTGGAATTCTTTCCTGTTAGCACCATCTTGTTCTTCATTGTTTGTTTTGAGTTCTGGTGGCAGAATTCTTTCTGGTTATAGGAATATATCGAATGTAAGCATTGGTCATTGTAGGGAGGAGTCATACTAATAGTGAATGTACAATACCTGATGATGGCCCAAAGGCTGAAACATGTAGCAGTAAGTACTTAATGTGTGGCATATTTATACAAAAGACTGTGCTAATGGAAAGAAATACAATTGAAATAGTTCTAAAATG